GCCGACAATCGATATCCAGGTGGACAGGTACACAAAAACGATCCCATCAGATTTTGACACCTCCCCGGCTGAGGACAAGTGTCTGGTATCTGAAATAATTTCGAATTCCCTATACATTTCGATTATCTGTACAAAAATCTAAGTAGTAAGTTCGTCAATAAATACAATATCCCATATAGATATTAAAAGTGATAGATGATAAAAATGTAGAATTTTGATTTTTAACGATATTTGATATATTTAAAAAAATAATAAATTCGTATCAAGTCCCACACTTTTGCATCATTGTATTAGAATATTATATGCACAGTACCTATACCTTATAATAGGTACAGTATGATACAATGGTTATGATGCGATATATAAAATATAGTACCTACCTATATGTCTATATATAATAAACAGGTATGAGTATTAATATATTAATATATAATTAAAATAATTTATATGGAAAATCTTGATTCCCTCACTAAAACTAATACTTAGTACCAGTGGTACATGTAAAATAATTACCTCAGTACATTCATCAATATCCCTGCAATGTTGGCCATCAGTCGAAAGTAYATATCCGGAAGTGCATTCACAGCTAAACCCACCCATAGTATTCCTACATCGCCCGWTTCTGCACAGGAATGGCATCATTCTACACTCATCCACATCTAAATGATAATAAAAAAATATCACATTGAAAATTAGCTTCAGTGTAAATAACTCGGCYTCGATAGGCGACTGGAAGTGGTGGATTAGATTTATTACTTAGTTTATTTTTTATACTACTCTCTAAATTTTCCTATTACCTCTAAAAGCCATACTCGTATCTGCAGAGATTGACGTCAAAATCAATTTATTATTTTTTGAGTATGTATATATAATAGCTACAAACATACATTTTGTTTTATGAAATAGTTTCTTTAAATGAGATGAGTTAACCTCGACGATTTGATGCGTGCGAAGATGTATCAGAGATTTGCCCGAGTAATGGCAACCATTTATATGTGCAAAATAAATATTTCAATTTTCTCCGTGAATTTAAAAACTCTTGTKGAGGACCTTTTTAAAATAWGAATTTCGGAAAATCCTTTCTTAACAGTTCATAAAATAAAAATACTGACCAAATTTCATACTCATATAGGTTTCTTCGGCGGTTCCGGCTAGGYGATGATAAATTATTAGCCAGTCACTAGTCAGTCAGGACTCGGGACAAGATATGTGTTTATAGATTATAATATATTGAACTGTTTTATAGCGTTTAGGATAATATTATAATTACGTAGTTTAGGGGTTACCTATGCAATCGTTATTATGACTGAGTTTGAACCCTTCGAAGCAGTTGCACTTGAACGATCCCACGGTATTGAAACAAGTTCCGTTGTTGCACACGTTCTGATGACGACTGCACTCGTCTACATCCACACACGTGTCMCGAGCCRCTGTTAGTGCATAGCCGTTGTGACAGGTGCACTGAAAACTCCCATCCAGATTAGCGCATTCGCCGTCCCGACATATTCCATCTCGTTCGTTACACTCGTCAACGTCTGTTTGAGAAACGCATCATTATTATAATATATAATGRTATTATGTAGCTGTTCAACTGGTTTGGACACTGCTGCGACGGCAGACCAACTTACCCACACACTCTCTGGCGGTCGACCCGAGCTTGTACCCTTCGGGACACTGACATTCGAACGAACCGGGAGTGTTGACGCACTGAGCGATGCCCCGACACGGAGCTGGTATGCGCAGACATTCGTTGTCATCTAAAACAAAAAATAAAAATTGTTCYCATATCGGTTAAGCGTCACAGAAAACACCGCCGTAAGGTCAATATATTATAACGCGCTCGCACCGATGCATTGATGGGAGTTGGCATCGTACACGTATCCGCCGTCACACGAACAGTGAAAGCTCCCGGGAGTGTTGACACACGATCCGTGGTTGCACATGTTCGGCATCAGTGCACACTCGTCAATTTCTTCGGTCCGATTGGTCATCGGGTTCATGATCAAGCCCGGTCTTGACCCGCATAGTAATAAGTATTCCTCTAGGGATCGCGGAAAAAAACAAAACGATAATGTTAGATAAAATCCAAAGGAATCGTGTGGTCAACTGGTTAATCATACAATATAAATATAAACATTTGTTTTATTATTAAATGTTTCGCTTGACCTCTTGTCAACGTTATTGTTTTGATCATGTTTTGTTAATGTTATTATATTACACTTATCTAAAAATTGTGTTCTTAGTTAAGATACCGACCTGTTAAACTGATATATATATATATATATATATATATATTATAATCTATAGTTAATTAAATTATGTTGTAGGCATTATATACCAACTCTATACAAAGTTGATTAAAAAATGTATTAACTGCAGTATACATATTGTATCTACTTTACGCTTGTATTTATGATTTAGTTTTCTCTCTGATGATAGGTATAATCTATAATCATTTTCTGATACCTTTGTGGAACTTTTAATTTACTTTTAGTTTTTAACTTTCACGAAAATATTGATTGTTTAATGCAGCGTTTCTTAAACTGTGTTCTGAGGAACCCTGGGGTTCCGCGYAGATCACTTAAAGGTTCCRAGAAGCTTAAATGATTTTTTTTAAATGTTCAAAAAATTACTTTAAAGTATCCATTATGAAAAAAAAAATACTTGCATAATATTAAATAATAATGTACAAGCTATATGGAATAATCTATCAGCTAACTCTTTATTCAATAATCTATACTTCTACTTAATATTATAATTTATTTGCAAATAATCCTAAAAAAAGCTAAAATGCTAAAAAAAAGTAGGGGTTCCATGATAAAGTGGACATCATAAAGGGTTCCGAGGACAAAAAAGCGTAAGAAACGCTGGTTTAATGTAATAACTAATAATATTGGTAATTGAAATTTTAGTTTAAAGTGAAACATAATATTTTGTTTAATTAGTAGACTTGAACTCAAACTTAATGAAATTAAATATTAACTTTGAACTTAAAAACTGCAKGACTATTCGAGTTAACTGATGTTTATTATTATTTTAATAATACATACATTTATGATTTATAGTGTTCAAACAAGTTGGCTATTTGTTTTTAATTGATATCTTTACAATAAAATCCTATAAGTTRTAGATAAAAATTGTTTGATTCATATGTTTATCAACAATAGCTTAGATAATTTACACATTAACGTCTTAAACGTTGAAGTTTATTCACACAATAGCAACATATTATGTAAGTGGGTGGGTGAAGTTCGTGCCAGAATATAATTGACTAGACATATACACGCRTATCAGACTTACTCGTATTGGACGACGGACAAGGTTGACATGGCAATCCCCAGGCTTGGCCCATCGAGCAACAGCAGATCATTCGAGTCTGACTGTTAGACATGGGCACRGAACACTGACCGTCMGTGTAATTCAAAAAGCAGTTGTCTTTCCGCATGTCCACGCATTCCTCTGGAAAAAAAAATGCATTTATACGATAAGATAATATTATAATATTGTTAATAATACTAAAATAAACCAAAATGCTGTGTAAAATAGTACAAGGCGTATCTGGAAGGTGTACACAACGTATCAGGCATAATAGGTTTTAAACGTGATTTACATACATAAYCGTAAACTCGTCCAGGTGCCCCTTGTATAGCTAAATACATATTTTTATTATTATACATTTCATTTCAGATGATCGGATTATTATTCCACAATAATTAGTTTACGATAGTATTATAACAATAACGGTCGTGCGTTGCCATCACGTACTTCCATTAGGCAGGAGCATGTATCCGTCCGGGCAAATGCAACGATATGTTCCGACTTCGTTCAAACAGAATCCCACGCCGCAGACGTCTGGGTTCTCGTTGCACTCGTCCACGTCTAAMATAAGCATGAAAAAAGACAAGAACGGCATTAACTATACGAGTGCACACGGTGCCCGATCAGCGTGCAGTGCTTCTTACGTTACCATAACAGAATGTACTGGTGTTGTCGAGACGATAACCTTCGTTGCACGAGCACATGTAACTGCCGAACGTGTTGGTGCAGTGGCCGTTCGTGCATAGGTTGTCGTGTTCCTCACACTCGTTGACGTCTTCGAGTATCACCTGTTTATCATTGCAGCGACGATACAAAAATGAATCCGAAAGAAGATTTTATGAATAGTCTTATTACATTAGTACCTAATATAATATATTATAACTACCTAATAGTATAATAATGTTATACTTATAATAGATAGCTAGCTATGTAATATATTATAGCTATTACGACTTACCGTGGTAGGGTTGGGCCTGTATCCCGTTCCTCCGGGACAGAGAGTCTTGTACTCTTCCGTTTCCACTTCCGGACACGATTCACACTTGGATCCCCARGCCTTACCCACGGAACAGCAGCACGTGGCCTTCGACACGGCTGATCCCATCTCGTGATGGCAGAGTCTCTGCCCACCCCGGTCTTCCACTTCCATATAGCAACGACCTTCTCTTTTATCTACGATTTTGTATACAAAAACATTTTATTAGCAATGTATATTATTTTATAAAGTAAACATTACAACATGTTAATATTATTCTAAAATATCGACTTCAGAACGATATCGTAATAATAATTAGTAATTACACAATATTTTTAATACTACTTGTATTGSARAAATTATTAGGTTATACGTTTTAGAGTATTTATTCGTTCGTTTTGAGTCAAAACATTAATAAAGATGAACAATAATATCACAAACCGACACACGCGTTTCCGGCCGGAACCAGTTGATAATTAGGCGGACATTTGCATGTGTAATTTCCTTCGTTATTGATGCATTCACCGTATAGACATGCCTGAGGACTTTCGCACTCATTTATGTCGGTGCAATTTCCTATACATAACATTTTKATAAAATATAACAATACGCTCGATATTATTTTAACTGAAAATAATAAAAACATTGAAAATAAATTTTACCTCCCGTGTTGTCCAATTGGTAGCCTCCGCTGCACTCACATCTGAACGTCCCGAATATGTTTTCACAAGTACCATACACACACAGATTATTGAACATGTGGCATTCATTTATATCTATTCAAATATATTTGTTTTTTTCATAATAATTAGAAAATAATGCAATTTATGTTTACGAATCTAATACTTTTAAGTAGAAGCTTAGCCTAAGGGGCGCTGTACTATTAACAAATGAATCAATATTATTACAATAAATTATATCTACTGCACGCATTTTAAATATAACATTTATTTATTTCAGTCWATTTTAAACAGTTTGAATAKATGAGAATTTTAAAATATTAGTGAGTTAAATTTTAAATATAAATACTTTAAAGTTTAGGATACTGTTAAAGTCCTACTTCAATTATTTTTAAATCTTTTGAAAAAATTGTATATTTTATGTTTTGATAAATTTTTAATATTTAATACTCATCAACCATTTAATCAACGCATCAACATAATTATATCTTTGTGTTTTTTTTTAAATTAAAAATGTATATAATTTTTTATGCAAATTAAATCATTATAATATATCAAATTTATTAATTAGATAACGGTTCTAGAAAAAATAATAAAATTGTAAATTATTGGCAAGTCTCTTTAAACCCAATCCTTTTCCAGAACCAGTTACTAGGTGTTAATATCAAGTGTACTAATATATTAGATCAAATTTAGTAATTTCAAAATATGCTTATTATAAAAAATGTCATTCCTAAGTATTTGAATACGATGTGAGTATACTTTAAGTACTAAATTATTAAAAGTAAACATTTGTTTTAAAAAAATATTAATACCGCATAATATAGGTAATTATAAGTTCTTACCATTGCAAGATCTTTCATTTTTGTCATCCGGATTAATAAATCCCATTTCACACTCGCATCTAAATGATCCCGGATAATTCAAACAGTGACCGTTCTCACATAGAGTCGAATCTTCAGTACATTCATCAATGTCTATACACGAGTAGCCATCTCCACGAAAACCATCATCACATACGCACTATAAGCATGATCAAGTTATTAATATGCATAATAAGTAATTCRTTTTAAAGTACACAACTTCGAATATAATTTCTATGCATTTTGTTTTTGTTTTTCAKAAAATAATGTTTTAGATTCTTTATATAACTTTTATCTCGTGTTATAAACTCTATAACTTATTATTTTAGGCATGAATATTTTCTTAAAAATTAGACCGAAGTTTCATGTATTGATTCAATATAGGTTTATTTTAATTCACGTATTAGATACTACAAATTATAATTTTAAAAATACATAYTAAATTTATCAAATGTAGAGTTAAATATTATACCTTAAACGAGCCTTCTTCGTTTATGCATTGTGCATTTTGGTCACAACCTCCGTTATTAGTTAAACACTCATTGATATCCATACAATTGTATCCGTTACCTGTAAAACCATCTTGACATCGGCAACCATAAGAACCCTAAGATAATATATTATCATTATTAATTGCAAATTAAGATTATAATGTTCATATCTTTTTGTACTTTTAGATCTTTTTTTTTTTATCCAATAGYGCAATATCCAAAATTTCATGAAGAATACCTTTGTCATATCAAAATCATAATACTAAGTTAGTAATAAACTTATAAGCTACTGTTTGAATACACATATTTAGTTATTTAATTATCCCAATGTCATAAAAAT